CCCGCATATTTAAATGGAACAAGGTACAATTTTACCTTTTTACTATACGAAATTTCTTGGTTTTACCCTCCATTATACTTTCAGGCAACTCATACTCTCGTCATTAGCTCATTGTCTCATGTTTGTCCTTGACTTTAAGGGACCTCCAGCACGAACCGGGTAAATTCAAGGTGTCAAAGTACTTTGGAAAAAGTTAACGCACTACTTTTGACTATGGTTTAAAAGTAAATCCCATTATGCTTCGAGTTGGAGCTCCATTAGGGTCATGCGCAGACACGAGAAAGATTTGCTAACAACAAGGGTATGAATGGCCCCAAAGTATAACGGATGCTAAATAAAGATATTTTGGGTTGTACTAGAAAGGTGTTTTTTGACCTTTTCCTCTCTTTAAATTGAAGTGTTCCATTTACTGAGTCCTAGACATAAATACAAGAATCAAACAAGTTGTATTACTGAAGAATTCCTTTCAAAAGCAGTAATCAGACAACTTACAGGTTCTGATAACAGTTCTCCTGCAGAAAAAGCTGCAATGCCCGAATCGGTGATGGAACTCAAATTGCCCTGACAGCTCTCCTGGCTTGTTGGACCAATCTGAGAACTTTCTTTTCTGGGAACGCCTTCTTCAACTTCCCTCTTCCTTTTCCTTTCTATGTATCTTTCAACTTCAGCAGAAGAACGACAACCAGCAGCTCTTGCTTCCTGCATAATTTTGACCTTGCATAACTAGTAACAGATAGACAGTGATTCTGTATCACGTTTTGCTACTGCGTCATAGATTAGTCAAATAACATATGGTTCTAATTTTATAAAATTCACCTACCTTCTATATAAGGTTAATGAGCAAATATCGAAAGGAAGAGAACTAGAGAGAACTTATCCACATGCCAACAGTTAGTTTCACAAAATAGGTACTCCCTTTGTTTCATTTTATATGACGGCGTTTGACTGGACATATAGTTTAAGAAAGAAAGGCTTTAGAAACATACCAGAAGTAACATTTAGAAATTGCGGTCTTAAAGATGTCATGACATTTTAAGGCTGCAAGAGCATGTTGTTACGTGTAAAATGAAAAGTTTAAACTTAAAGGGTTTCTAAAGGTGTCATTCTTTTTGGAAGAGGCTAAAAAGGAAAGAGTGTCATATAAAATGAAACGGAGATTATAATAATCAACAAAGCCAAGTTTCCCACCTTGAGTTCTTGTATTCTTTTCAGAAATCTATGTTCTGAGACCACAGTCTTGAGTAATTCTTCATGCTCCTCCTTGGAGAGGAAGCGCATAATGGCATCATAACGTCGGCATATATCTCTCTCTTCTGGAGATAAATCCTTCTCAAATTCACTTGGCTGGAGTAAATTCCTCTCTAGAATAAAATCCTTGCGGCGCTTTCTTTCATCAAGCCTACCATTATTCGTTGAAACTTGATGTCGTATGTATATGATAACTGAAGGAAATATGAAATATGTGACAGAGGAAAGGAAGAGTACCTCTTGCCATAGATACGCAGAACACGCAACTTAAGTTCGCGCTCCTCTTCAGTTTCAGTTTCCTTGAATTCCATATCAGCCAATAGTTGCTCCGCATCATTATCATATTCAGGATCAAATTCTTGCCTTTTGGCGTTATATCCACTTAATTTCATCAACGAGGATCCATCATCCTTCAAAGATTTAGGTTTCTTGCCTCCAAAATTTCTGCCCGGATGATTATCTGCCAACAATTAATTTACTTTTTAAAAACTGATCAATTCCTTCACCAATTTCTTCCGTCATAAATAAAAAGTTCCCCGCCCTACCTTCCAGTTTTACAGGTACATTTTGGTCTTTGGCTTGCGCTTTGCTGGATGGTTTATTAATGCCTGTGGTTCCTGCAGAATCCATTCTGTTAATGACTCGACGAATTCATATCCTTTGACGAGGAAAAGTAAATATTGCATTTGAAGAGAACCAAGAACCGGTCTTACCCGCATTGGATATAGAATTTAAGCGGCCTAAAGGACCATTTTTATGCGAGTCTTCAACTCTAACGGCGACAATGCAAAGAAGAAAGTGACAATTAGATGAGCTAGAGACATAATTGATAATAAACCACGCACACAGACCATAGAATCTGAAATTCATACTTGACTCTAGATGGGGAGAATGATTCATCTTTAGGAACAACTTCACCAAGTGAGGAGAGTCCTGAAATTGCCACAAGCAGTCAATGTAAGATATAGTGTTGTGAAAATTTATTGCAATCAGATAAATTCTCTTACTAGTACATGAATTCCTAGTTTTCTCCCACAGGAATTCTCCTCACCACGTTTTCTCTATTACTAGTTTGCACGTATTTGCAAGTACTATGCATACACTTAAAGATATGTCAATTAATTTGTCTATTTCAGGATAAATTGGACAACTTTATTAAAGTTGCTTCAATTAATTTTACATCCTAAGACTTATCTTTCTTCTCACATTTTTTATAATAAAGTAGCCATGGTTTTACTAAAAAACTTGAGAATCCAGAGATGCAGTAGATTACAAGATTTTCTTTCACATTGTATTTATGAGATATTTTTTAATGAAATAACGAAAGCAAAGACCAACAACAACAACAACAACCCAGTGTGGTCCCACAAGTGAGGTCTGGGGAGGGTAGGATGTACGCAGCCTTACCCCTACCCTGGAAGGCAGAGAGACTGTTCGGCTAAAGAAGGTGAGAGAAGCCCTGTAATGCCCCGAAGACCAAAACAACCAATAAAAAGAAAGAAAGGTTGTAAAAATCCCATAACTTTGCTATTAAAAGTACTTTGGTAATCTTTATGAATATATGTTTAATGACATTAATCCCGAGAATTAACAAGATAATTGAATTCTGTGAAAATTTCTGATTGCTTATACTCCTTCCGTCCCAATTAACTAGTCTGTTAAACTTGATATAGGATTTAGAGGAGAAAGTTCAGATAAGTCTCGTATTTCAATGTGGTAGAGATATTAAAATATTTCCTATACTAACTAAAGCAGTATATCAAACAAAATGGAACACGAGGAGTGACATTTTTTTATCTTTTAGCTAAATATGAAATAAGTGTAGTGAGTACTATCATCATGTAAGTTTTTTTTTTTTGAAAATCCATATTGATTACCTTATCAAAAAAGAGTTCCATTCTATTTCAGTTGTCTCCCACAGAGTACAGGAATTTAAAACTTCCACGTATTCTTTGTTCCATCATTTATTTATAAATTAAACATCACCCGTAAAAAATTGAGAATCGTCTAATATCATCTTCAAGATTAACTATTAACCAGCTTGAAGCCTCAATAATTATAATTAACTTTAAAATTACTACCAATTGTTATTCTTGTATTGTTTTTGTTGTTACCTAAAAACTCATCTAGATTTAGTTTTTAGTGAATGGAGAGTATTTAGCTTGGAGTGTCTTGTGTTTGTAACGATTACGTAATTAGCTAAAAATTTGATCTCCATATTTGACAATATATACCAATTCATTGTTATAAAAATAACAAGACTATATTTACATGTCTTGCAGAAAGGCATATTCCTCTTGTCACAATCCTTGTCGTTGGTTAACTATCTCTAGTCTTCTTCTTTTATCAGTGTTTATTATCTGTAGTCTTGACCAAGATATCTCATCATAATCTAACAACAGTTTACATTTAATGTATTTGGTACCGACAGAAGTAATAAATTCAAAATATTTAATATGCTTGTACTATTGGTTGTCAAATTTTGTTAAACTTACTCTCTAAAATTTAAATGAAGTTAAATTACTTGAAGCTAGGATATTTTCCTATTTATTTAGCCCTTTTGTTTTCATTCTCCCCTTGTATATAAAGGTAAATACACAAAGATATTTTCATGAGTTTCCCTTTTCCTAGTTCTTCCATAACACTATATGTAAGAAAGTGACACTTTGAGATATAGCATATACTAGATGCATTCATAAAGAGATCTCCAAAAGCTTCTAACATTTCCGTTTATGTAGCTTCTAGTCGAAAGTTACTTTGTTAGGGCAAAAAAGAAGATACACAAAACACTTATACTTGTAGTATTAGATAGATTCACTTCACATGCCACTATTAGTTATTTTAGGAGATATGTAACGGCAGACTATTTGACCTCGAAGGCATGACTTATGTTGCACCGAGCATCATTTCGTTATCCTAATGGTAGAAGAACAGGCTCTCAAGATGAGCAGCTAAGGAAAGAAACTAGAGGATTCGGAATTTGAGAACTACATTCCTAACCTTTCTTATCTGTGAAATTCCCTTTAGCCATGGCAAGGAGTTCCTTTCTGTTTTTCCCAATGACATGAGTCATATCCTGGAAGAGGAAAAGGAAAAATGCAGGTGACGATATGTTGAGTCAGAAGAATAAACTGGCAAATATTTGTAATAAAATTTCTTACCGGCAGAGGAAAGTAAGGTGACTCTAAGTATGCGCTCTTAAAATGTTCGACGCAGGCTTCTTTTGTCTTTGTTCCGACATGCTCACCAACTTCTGCCCAATTACCCATGCCATACATTTCAAGTCCCTAGGGGGAGCAAATTCAAGTAACCAAGACAACAAGAAAAGGGGGTATTGACGTTATGATTACCTAACAGTAAAAGTGAAAAGTCAAATTCAGTTAATAAATAAGACATGAGGTGTCCAAAAAGAAGGTCCTTAGAAATAACACCTCCAGAAGCAACATCTCTTCATCAGCATTCCAGTCCGGGCAGATAAGCGGGAAAGATAAGATGTCCTGTCCAAAGTCACTATGAACGTCATTAAAACAATGCAACAGCACTGCTATCCAGTGATCAAAATGACGATTAGCTCCAAAGCCGGTGCACCGAAAAGCATTGAAAAACACAAAGTAAGCTTCTAAAATCCACATGTTTACAAAAACATCTAGTTCATGCTGAATGTTAATACTGCAACTTTCTGGTAAGTTTCAGATATGTAGTATGTAGTATGGTATTAGGGAAAACTACACAGTATAGCCCCTCCCAAAAAAAAAAACACAGCCGGCAAAATGTATAGCTTTTATATATTAATGTATAATATACAGACTTTATACTTATTTTTTGTAAATTTGACTAGCGGATGTAATTATTTTTGGCTGACAAGCCAAATGTGTAACTTGCCCTATGTATTACTACTGATATGAAAAAATAAAAGATAAAGTTTCAGAAAAGTAATCTGTAAAATGCATGACATAAAGATTGATCTCCATACCACAAAGGATAAAGTAATTCATCGTTTACAGAAGAAAGAACTAAACATAGTACCTTACTTATCAATTTAAGAAAATAAAGAAGAAGAAAGAACTGACCATAACTCTATAGGGGTGATGGCTCTTGTGAGGCTGCACCTCAGCACCAACCGAAAAGCACTCTATACATAGGTCAAAATCAGAACAGACACCACATTTTATACGAATTCTCCCGCTGATATCTTTGTTGCAATAATTGCAGTGATACAAGGCCCTTTTGCCTTCACCCGTCCCTTGGCCTGAGAAATCAAGAGCATTATGTCAACATATAAGAAGTGCTTGCAAATTTGGAAGACTCTAAAGGTCATGAGAATGACGTACGGCGACTTTGCAGCAGCTTATGGGTCTGAAATTGCACAGAGTTTGGGGCGAAAAGGGTAAGAACTAAGAAATTATTGGGTAAAAAGGAATCATAGAATGGTGATTTCTTAGCATTTATTTGAGCATGAAAACGCTTGAAGAGGTTGAAAAAAAAAGGTTGTTTCCATTGCAAACAGTGACATAAATAAGGAAAAGAGAAGAATAAGCAAGAAAGGAAAAAAGAAAAAAGCCTTAGGAATCACTATTAGTCCTTCAGGCATCAGGCGACGAGGTTAGAATTGCACGACACAATACAAAAAGTCAAAATTACTTGGGTACGATTGATTTGAAGAAAAAGGAAAGAATGGAAAAAATAAAGATAGTATAATTTAGGTCAAAATATGTTATTTTACTTATTGCTTCCTCTCAATTCTTTTCATTTCTGTTTAACCAATTGACCCTATAAAAATCTCAAATGGCTAAGCTCTATGCGCTGAAAGAATTATAAGGATATCGAGACCTAATCCTACTCCAGAAAATTCCCTAAAATATTTAGTGCTACACTTAACCCCCCCCCCCCCTTCCCGCACTAGGAGTCAAGAGTAGCCGTTGCCCACTTTTTGCTTCCTTGGTGACTTGAACCCCCAACCTCAAGGTCAAAGGTGGAGGGTGATTTTCCGCTTAAGCAACTCTCTTTTCCAATACTAGGTAATGCCGATTCCGAACAACTTCAAATTACCAAAATCCATCTACACTACACACTAAACAAAAAACTTTTTTCTTACAAAAGAAAATTAATGTTGGATAAGTTTCTTCTTACCAAAAATTCTACCTCCAGAGTAGCTTATGCCCACTACAGTAACTGCTACCAAAATACTCTTCTGACAAAATAAAGCATAAGGATACCACACAAGCTCAAAAGTAATGTTATGTTTGGAACCTAAAACCACTCCTACCATGCTTTCTTTGGTAATTTAAAGGTTGTTGCCATATGTTTATACCAAAAAAGCCGGGTCTCCAAAAGAAATTCATGTATCCAAGAAACAGCTCCAACATATTGTTTATATAGATAATAGAGCTACAACGACATCATTGTGAAGGTGCATATCCAGAAAAACCTGCATTTTAGAAATTTTATCCTTATCTGGCAAAAGGAAATAGATTGTCATTTCAAAAATGAAAAGGGAAATATGATTGCAGGATTCCTGTTTACAGTTTAGTCACCGTTGAGATCATCTACCAATAAACCTGAATAAGTCTATGGACACAAAACCTTTGCCAGATTGAAAGATTCAAAAACGTATTATGAAGGGATACAAAAGAAGATAATCAACTACAATAAACTGTCATTCACAAGAATCAAACTCCGACTGTACTTTAACAACAATAAACTGCAACTGCCATCTACAAAAATCAGAATTAAACTTAACAGCTGAAAAGTACTTAAGCGAAACTTACCAACAGTCACAGATTCTAAATTTTCTCCACTTGAGGCATTCTTTTTCCTCCTTGATCTACATTTAAGGAAAATGAGTAATGAAACTACACCAAATTAGCAAGAACCATCTAAGAAAATGAAAAGAAAGCATCCAATTTCCTCTAACAGTTCATCTATAAAAGAAACGAAATTCATAAGCAATGAGCACATACCATTATAATTAGTACTTCCTGTTCTTGGGAAAATTAAAAAGGATACGTATCAAATAAAAATGCCAAATTTCAATCTGTTCACTCATAAATTAAGAAGGAATGCTCAATACAACAACAACAACAACAACAACAACTACCCAGTATAGTCCCACAAGGTGGGGTCTGGGGAGGGTAATACGAACACAGGCCTTACCCCTACCCGAAAGGGCAGAGAGGCTGTTTCCAATCGACCCTCGGCTCAGGAAAAGGAAAAGGAAAACAAAAACAAAAAACAAAAAGCAAAAGAGCACTAGTAACTCCAGCAGAAATCACATAAATAATTATCTAAACATAAACCATAAATAAAATGGCATGCAAATATATCGACCAGTAACTACCATAAGGGGGCACAATACAATACACAGATCATCTATGGAGAGCCCTACCAAACCCCCCCCCCCCCCCCCAGCGCCGGGACAGAAGTACGAAAAATTCTAGAAGCCCCTATCCTGCAACCCTGATACCAGGGTTATTAAAAGCGCTCGCTTCTCGCTTTAAGCGATGAAGCGAGGCGAGGCGCACGACTCACATTAGAAAAGCGCACGCTTTTCTCGCTTAAGCGAGAAGCGACGCTTTAAGAAAAGCGATAAAAAGCTCGCTTAAGCGAGCAGAAGGCTGAAGCTAGGGCTTCTTTTAAAAATTTGGGCAAATAAACATACGCTCCAAAGGCATCTGTTACCAAAACATACGCTGGTCTTCTTCTCCAGCCCAGCGAACTCCAACGACACTGCGACAGACCACTGCTGCTCCAAAACAGGTAAGTTTCTTCTTCTTCTTCTAGTCTTCTTCTTCAGTTCTTCTGTTCTTCTTCTTCATGCTCTGTTTTCTGTCTTCTTCTGTTATTCTTCTTCTCTTCTGTTTTTCTTTCAATTTTTTTCTCCAGATTAAGCGCTCATATTTTGCCCTAAATGACTTCTTTTTGTTCTGTTATTAAAAGTGTTCTTTATGCTCTGTTTTCTTCTGTTATGCTCTCTTTATGCTCTGTTTCTGTTATTAAAAGTGTTGTTTATGCTCTATTTTCTGTTTAGGGCAGTGAATTAATTGTTTTTTTTTTGGTTGTTGATTGTAGTAAATTTAATTTGATTATTCAATGGCATCAAGCCAAAAATTTAATAGCCATTTATATGTTATTTTTAATGAGTTCTTAGCCATTTATCTATGCCTATTTTTTTTATGTGTTAAATTGCGCTTCACAGCAAAAAAGCGCGCGCTTCGCTTCGCGCTTCTCGCTTCTGTGAAGCGAGGCCTCGTCACTTTTTTGCGCTTAACGCTTTCCAAAACACTGCCTGATACTAGACCTCCAGACTTTCCTATCAAGGGCCATGTCCTCGGAAATCCGCATTCTAGCCATGTCCTGCCTAATCACCTCTCCCCAATACCTCTTGGGCCTCCCTCTGCCTCGACTCGCGCCAACCAATGTGGCATTAGTACCCCGGCTAGTGCAGGGTAGAGGAAGGGCGAGCATATAATGTAAATAGTCTTCCCTTGCAATTTTGCAAAGAGGTCACTAAAGGAGCAACTCTACCACAGCGCCAATGCTCGCCCTCGCACAGTAAAAGCACATACTAGAGCTAACTTTCAACAATTGACTAATCATTACTTATAAAAATCTAGTCTTTTACCAGAAAAACGAGATAAACCCAAGAAATTAACACACATTACGAGTTTGAAACCTGTAACTAAAAGATGCTCTTCAACAAATTGACTAAGACATTAGCAAAATAAATTAAAAATTCAATCTGTACCAGAAAAACAAGATAAGCCTAACAATTTAACTCCCATTAGTAGTTTATACATACAACCAACTGACGCTTTCGACTATAGACTATTCAATTTAGCAATAAAAATCTAATCTTTACCACAAAAACTAGCAAAAAAAAATAATTTAACAGCCATTAGTAGTTTATACCAACTAAAAGACACCCATAAACTAAAAGATACTGGAATAAATACCTACAACTAATGACACTTTTGACTGTTGACTAATTAATTTAGCAGTAAAAATCTAATCTTTACAACAAAATCTAGAAAAAAGAAACAATTTAACACCCATTAGCAGTTTTGAAACTTCTTACTTCATTAGAAAAAACACCCATTAGTAGTTTATACCCAAAACAAGACACCCATAAACTAAAAGATGCTGGAATAAATACCTACAATTCCTGACACGACTGTTGGCTAATAAATTAGCAAAAAAAATCTAATCTTTACCACGAAAAAACCAACAACAGTTCAACACCCATTAGTGGTTTATACCTATAATTAATAAATACCCATAAACTAAAAGATATAGTGGAATAAAAAGAGATGATAAAGATTGAACCTTTGGCTGGGATCTTCATCAGCCTGGAAATTTCCACGAGAGCGACCCATTTTTAACTCTGAAAAAAGCCCTAAAGAGGCCAACGTAGTTGGCTATTGGTGATAAAGATTGAAGACCCAAAATTATTTTGATGAATTTTAGAGCTAATTTCCCAAATTGGGTATGTTCTTGAAACAATTATTGAATGTTCACTGAAAATTTTGGGTTTTGGTGAAGTTCATTGGGTTATTTTGTGGAATGTACAGTTTGTTGGATAACGAATTAGTTTTTTCAGATAAACGTTTATATTTTATTTTTTTAATGTCCAGCGTTGGGAATTTTATTGACCAATATTGCACGACCACATTACACATAATTTTGCCTGTAATACGGGGACAAGCTGAAATCTTTTGAGTTTGCTTTGTCTTAGAGAAACAATTTGTTTTTATTTACAAAATATAAAATTGGCTGGTCGGTCGAAATATTGTTAACCAAAAGTGCAATATATATTGTCGATTATTATTTTTGGGAGCGGTTAAAAGTATACATTTCTCTTTTTATTAGGAAATGAAATTATTGTTTTTAAGCAGAACGTACTTTTGTGTTTGTAGGAATTTTTTTTAATAAAATTTATGTCATGTCTCGAGATCTCTGATTAAAGGTAGAGAGATCTCATTCATCATATTATTTTGGTCTTATTGTATTGGTGGTGATAAAAACTTGGCCGAATACATATACAACCCGTCCAACTTGACACAATTTTTCATTTTGGCACTCTATTTCTACCTTGTTCCATTTTGGCCCTCCAACTCTATTTTTTATGTTCCACTTTAACACAAAAGTTGAAACCAGTGCAAAAATATAGCGCGTGTGTATACACAAATCTAAGGTGTAATAAATATCCAATTAAATGTTGCCACCAGGTTTTTTTCATCTATATCAAAGGGGTCATACTAAAATACCTGAACCCGACCGTATTTTTGGTGGGTTTATTTCATCTAAACGGGCCAGGTACGAAATCGGCAGATGAAAGCTTTGGAACTTAGAGAATGAAGATGGGGCAATAGTGGATGAAAAAATACGGTCGGGTTCAAGTATTTTAGTATTGACCCGTTTGACGTGGATGAAAAACCAGGTGGCAACATTTTATTGGATATTTATTACATCTCAGATTTGTGTATACACACGCGCTATATTTTCTGCACTGGTTTCAGCTTTTGTGTTAAAGTGGAATATAAGAAATAGAGTTGGAGGGCCAAAATGGAACATAAAAAATAGAGTTGGAGGGCCAAAATGGACAAGATAGAGATAAAGTGCCAAAATGGAAAATGGTACCAAGTTGGATGAGTTTTATATGTATTTAGCCTAAAAACTTACTATCTTGTTTACACTAAATCATAGTTAATTAATAGTACACAGTTTCACCTTAATTTATACTTAATCATTGTAAATTAATATGATTTTGTGTAAATATAGGATGTGACTAGGGTAAGTTTTAATCTTCGGAAAAGGGTCTGATCTGTCCCTCTACCATCATCAATAGTTTAAAAAAGCCCTCCGTTATACTATTAGGACATCCAAACCCCTAACGTTATACTATTATACATATATGCCCTTATTTTAACGGAAAGGCCACGTGGCAAGCTTAAAACCATCCGGTTAAATTTATAATGGGTCCGACCCAACCCATTACCCAACCCGACCCTAACCCTTCTTTAAAATATGGTCTGTCACCGACATTTGGTTAATTTCCCCCTTTTCTTTTCACCCCTTCGAACCTCTAAGAGACCGTCGTTACTGCTGATTCCAATATACCGATTTCATATGATTTTGGTGTAGAGGTTAGACGTTTCTTCATTATACTAAAAGAGCAACTCTATCATTGCGCCAATGCTCGCCGTCGCACAATAAAAGCAGAAACTAGAGCTAACTTTCAACAATTGACTAATCTTTACTTATAAAAATCTAGTCTTTCACCAGAAAAACAAAATAAACCCAAGAAATTAACACCCATTATGAGTTTGAAACCTATAACTAAAAGATGCTCTTCAACAAACTGACTACTCAACATTAGCAATAAAAATTTAATCTTTACCAGAAAAACAAGATAAACCTAACAATTTAACACCCATTAGTAGTATATACCTATAACCCAATGACACTTTCGACTATAGACTAATCAACTTAATTAGCAATAAAAATCTAATCTTAACCACAAAAACTAGAAGAAGAAAAGAAACAATAATTTAACACCCATTAGTTTATACCAACTAAAAGATACTGGAATAAATATACCTACAACACTTCTCACTGTTAAGTGTTGACTAATTAATTTAGCAATAAAAAATCTATTCTTTACCACAAAAAACTAGAGAGAAAAAACCAACAATTTAGCACCCGCCACTCGTTAGTAGTTTATACCAAAAAGTAAAAGACAGCCATAAACTAAAAGATACTGAAAGAAAAATAATCCTGACAAATTAGTTTTTCAGATAAATGTTTTTATTATTTTTCTTCTTTCTTTTTTTAATCCCTTTTCCTCTCAATGTCCAGAGTTAGGAATTTTATTGACCAATACTTGTACGACCACATTCCACATGAAAACTATTATACTGATATTTTAAACATTTACATCACAGAATAATGATTTTACAGTAAGCTTGCAAATTAAACTGATCTTTTGATTTGGAATAATTTTAGTTGTTCTCATTTTGAAAACTTGCGCTTTCAAAAGTTAAACGACAGGAACAAAACGAAAACGATGATGATATTTTATTATGACGTCTAGAGATTCGCATTAGCATACTCGACAATACACATATTAATTGCAACGCGATCTTGAACAAAAAAGACAACTTTATGCTTAATAAGAACCGAAAGATCCGTATTGGTGGCGGAGCCAGAATTTTTATTAAGGAGAGTCAAAATATAAAGAAACAAACTCACCAAGAAGCCAAGGGGGTGTCATTACATAGTATAAATACATATTTTTTTAAAAATTATCAAGCTAAACAGTATAATTTTCCGACGAAGGGGTATCGGCTGACACCCCTTGGGTGCATGTGTATTATACGAGATGAGCTTACACACACAAAAAAAGAAAAGAATTTATATCGCTGATCCCAACTTGTTTGGGACTGATGTGTAGTTGTTATTGTTGTTTATCTAACAACAACAACGGACCCAATGTATTCCCATAAATGGGGTCTGGGAAGAGTAGTTGTACGCAGATCAATTATCATGTTTGCCATACAAGAGCATCTCTGCATTCAAATGAGTCCAGAAGAATGAAACACTGTACATTAAATCTCACCAAATAAAGTAGGTAGGCATTCAACCAAAGAAAGACCAGAATCAGTTATTATACAACAACCAGCTCAACAGAAGAGAGCAAAAAAGACCAAAATCTACCAAGTTACATATATTTTTAAGGTCAAGAGTCACAGAAGAGCCAAGGTTGAGCTGCTGCTGCTACTACTACTACTACTCCTTCTCTACGCATCATTTAGCATTACCCTTTCCTGCACTGTTTCCGTACAATCGGAAAAGACTGAAGGCAGAAATACCAGAGAGGACGATCATGCTAAGGCTCGCTATTACAGAACTTGCAACGCCTTTTCCAGCTTGGTTACAATATTTGCCATACATATCGCAAAGTTTCATCCATTGTAATTCTGTTTGACCTAACTTGGAAAATACTGCCGATTGTGCTGCTGCTGCCACTGCAGCCAATGTCAAGTAGGCCATCAACTGCACGCAGCAGAAAAGGACATATTATAAATAGGATTTACTTATATACATTAGCGTAAAGAAATTTTGCCTATTAATACACCGATTATCGCATGTTCTATTTTAGTTACCAAATTAGGATATCTACACACAATAACCGGTTCTTACAGGTCGTTTAACCTGATGATGTCAAAAACCTATACCCCGTCAGTACACAGAGGTTAAACTTTTGTAAATATGGTATTGGTGGAGCAAAATATAGTAAAAACCCTGAGACTTTGTAACAATAACCAAGACTCTTTTTTGAACTTCAATGACACCTCCAGAACGTTAAAAGGGTATAGTTTTGAGTATTCTGTTGAAAAGAAAAAGTAAAAAGCTGAAGAAGATAGTTATATAAGCAAATGACGATATCAGATTGTATTAAATGGGAAGAAGACTTAACCATACCCAATATTCACACTAAACCAATAAATGCGCACGACACGTATTTGCACATAAACTTTTACCACTTAACCATAGTTAATTAGTATATATTCTTGCCTCATTTTATCACTTAACCATGATAAGTAGATATCGTTTGGTACAAACTATCATGACATTCTCTTTATAAGTAGTAAGAGCAGCATATATTAGATAACAAAACATTGTCTGATTCAAGGATAAGGAGAATAAGTACTAATTCCATACCATGTCTTGGGTTTAACATGGATTAGAAAACATCAAAAATACTTCCTTATGTTTGGGGGTTGGTATGAAATTAGAAATAGTTCTTTAAATATAACGCCGGCAGTTGTATTCCTTTACATTTACCACAACTAAGTAATTTTGGTCTCAATTATGGTTAAAACACACAACGTTAGTTATATATCACAAAATTGACTTGTGAAAAGCACGTGAACTGTTAAAACTAAAGAAATAATCGGGACAGACCTCTCCCAATTCATTACCCTCAATTTGTACCCTAAGAAAAAACAAGACCAGCAGCAGAAGCAGGCCAGATCAGCACCAGAGGAAACAACAAAAATAAACACCAAATAATTGGGAGAATATGAATCAAGAGAAGTTCATCTTCATGCTTTTTTTCTTAAGTTTAAGAGTTCGCGTGCTTCTTACGAGCCAAATTTGTGATACATAACAATTGTCCTGTGTTTTAAACATAAAGAGACAAAAAGTGCTCAAATTTGATAAGCATAAAGAACCAGAACTGCTCAATGTATATTTTTGAAGGACTACTTTAGACTAACCTCAAAACTACTTTTTGGCATTCTCTCCAGGTTGGACTGGACTACCAGGGATTTTTACCCATTTGGGTCTTATTTGACCCAAATATAATTCCATTCTAGTTCAAGCAATGTATCAACACCATGTTTAAGAGGCAAACATTACAAAAAATTCCCTCAATAAGCAACCCCATCACACTAACCGGTCCACGAAGCATCCCGCATTCACGCAGGGTTCGGAGAAGGGCCGCACCCTATGGGGTGATGTAGGCAGCCTACCTTGATGCAAGCATCAGTGGCTCTGATTCCACGGCTCGAACCCCATCACACTAACAAATGGAGTAAAATAAGGTCCATCTGAGATAAGTACAAGAGGATATGCCTGACTTGAATCAGCTCAGTTTCTCAAGTATAATGCAAGGGTTCAACCATTAAAAAGGTCAATTTCAATTACCACAAATTAAGTTTTTACAGCAGAGTCACTAATTAGTAATTATGGTGCTTTGAAAGATCCTTTCTTGTTCTAAACTCTAAGTTAACCGTTGGAATATCAAATTTTTTTATTAGTAAAAAAAATAAAGCAGATTTTATGAATCACTAACAAAAACCTCAGAGGAGAAGCAAAGTAGGAATATCTTGTACCTGATCACCAGAAAAAATAGCCCAAGCCAAGGGCTTGTTGAAAAGAACACTTCCTCTAATCATACTCAAAATGCACCTTATAACTTGAATCAGTGAGTAGGCAGCAGCTAATCCATTAGCTATCACTAAAAAACTGCAAAAGAAAAGAACAAAAGTTCAAACCTTTAACAAAGTTCAAGTCTTTAACATTTAATCTTTGAAAGGAGAAGGGTCAAATATGCTAATCTACTATACACAATATCTTAATTTTACCATCCATTAAACTTTGGGACCATTCATACTATCTTTGACAAGAAAAAGTATAACAAAGGATAATTTTAAACCATAATCAAAAGTATGAGTAAATTTGAACCTTTTTCCCAAAGTATTTAGCACTTAAAATCCACACTAGACTCTCGCGTTTTTGTTAAAAGTCAAAAATAAATTCGAGACAATTTGCTAAAGAACAAAAGTATGAATGACTCTGCCTATGTACACAGCATCTCGCGTTTACGCAGGGTCTGGGAAAGGACGCACCCCAAGGGCTGGAATGTAGACCGTCTATCTGGCTGCTTCCACGACTCGATCCAGTGCTCTATATGTCATACGAGACAACTTTACTGTTGCTCCAAGTGCACAAAGCTCCCGCTATGCGCGGGATTCGGGAAAGGGCCGGACCATAAGGGTCTATTGTACGCAGCCTTACCCTGCATTTTCTGCAAGAGGCTGTTTCCACAGCTCGAACCCGACCTCCTGGTCACGTGGCAGTTACTGCCACGCCAAGGCTCCCTTCACTCCCTTTCATAAACCGATGGTAAAATTAAGATATTTGGACACTTTCCTATCTTTGAATTACAAGCTAAACAAACCATATACACAAAGCAAATATAAAAAAGAGAGCAAAAACCACTTACACAAGAGATTTCATGTCAGTGAACTTAGCCTTTTTCTGAATTGAGAATATAACTCTAACTTGACTATCTGTACCAATAAGAAGAGCAGCAAGAACAGCTAAACCACAAATTAAACACCTTAATATCAGCTCAGCTAACCTCACTCTCTTATCAATTACCTTCAAATTACTCCTATGATGAATTGGAACATTCCCTGGACTCACTCCAATACCCAAATAACTCATGATTTTTACACTCAGCCAATAGCTCACAAAATCAAATACCTTAGAAATATAATTCAGTTCACAGGAAAGTTTACACTACAGTACAAAAACATCATAGCCCGTGCCGCTTATATATAGTAGGGGAGAACCCCACTAAGCTTTACCTTTTTAAATATTTTATTAGAATATTACTACACATTTTTGGTGTTAGATTTTATTTTAACTTTTCTGGGCACTATTATTAAATTGCTTGATTTGTAGTGATTGAGCTTAAATGTAGCTCTGCAGCACTGTGCCAAGTGTCCTAGTTAGTGGCTTTAGCATCACACAACCAAAAGATGGAAAAAAAATTAAGGCATCGTTTGGTACGATGGATAAGCTAAAAAGAATTGGGAAATTTGATACTGTCTTATTTTTTATTTGGTATTAGTTTTGAAATAAGTTATCCCAAAACAAAATATAGCATCGGGATAACTTATGTCTGGCAGATGGTAGAATAGTAATCTCAGGATAAAACAGTAAAATTGACAATTCTAGGATTAATGTAACATACCAAACAGCCAATAAGAAATAATACCATCATAACTAACCCCGGCATAACTAATCCCAGTATAACTAATCCCAGCATAACTAAACCACAAATATTCTCTTGTTTTAATTTATAAGACACATTCTGCTTATCAAGAATCAATTTGACTCATCTTTGAAGCTAAATTAAATTAATTTAACTCAGTATTTTACAATTAAAATTTAGATTTTTAAAAAATTATATGAAAAGTATTATAAACTGTAATTCATCTTATGTCAATTTGATTAAAAAAAAATACATTTCAAAATATTGATCAAAATTCACACAATTTAAATTTTGGAAAACAAAACATATCATATAAATTAAAATGGATGGAGTAATAAATATTGCATTGAATGAGAGCAATCTGACGTGTGGGGTTGAGCAATTAAGGACTAGGTTGGGAAAGAAAACTTGAAATTTAGGACTAAAATCTTTGGGAAGATCCAATATGTTTCTTGTCCCAAGATAATGCTTGAGAGTTAAGAGAGATAGGAGTAAGGTGTGCCTTCAATTCTCTTAATTCAGCGGTAGGTATAGTGGAATTTATGATTGACCCATTTCTTTGTCATGAATAGCAAAAGGGACATAAGTAGGTGGTTCACTTTGTTGTTTTAATCTCACCTTTTTTATATATTTTTTTTTTGAAATCTAGGAAAACCTGCACGCTACAGCCTCTATCCTTCGGGTGAGCACTCTATTTATACTGGGTAAACCCCCCACTATGTAATAGCTGCAAACCACACAAAGGATGTAAACTGCACTAGGCAAGCTTTGTGCGACAGGCTCAGACGCAGAAGACATTGAGGGTGGATCGATCCCAGGTCATCACTATGGATAATGTTAGCCCTCCGCCACTTTGAGCTTCACTTGACAACGAGAGTGTTGTCATTTGGGGCAGCAAGAGTGTTGCCAAGCTAAGGTGCACGAGTAGCACCAAAGCAAAAAGGGAAACGGGCAAATGATGGTCAAGGCTTTGACGGAGGCGAGGCAGCTTAGCAAGGGCTTGACAATGAAATGCGAACTGAGGGTGCACTTGATCATGGCAAACGCATCAAGGCATGAGGCAGTGATGCCAATGCAAGGCAAAAACGAAGTGGCAAAGGCAGGCTAAGTGCAATGGAAGGCAGTGCGTGAGACAAACTTGTCATGGCATTGGAGCGCGGCAAAGGGCCATGTGCGTGGGCAATGGCATGGGCAAAATGCGGCTACAATGCACCTGAGTACAAGGCATTGGCGCCTGATTCAAACCAAGGCACGTACATGGGCAGCAAGCTTCAGATTGACCAAGTCAAGGGCGGTTACACGACACATGTTGTGCACATAGGCAGCAGTTGGCTTTTGCTAAAAAGCTGGCAGATTGTGTTAGCACGTTTTTGGGCCATGTTTCCATTATTATTAGCATGATCTTACATGATCTTAGTAGTTAGGGGATGTTGACTACACTAGGCTAAAATAGTGGGTTGTGTGGGACAAGTGTCTAAGCCTAAGTGCGACAAGTGTAAGGCAAAGGGGTTGTCTCATGTTTTATAAATGGGCAGCATCCTTATGCTTGGGGCGGATGAGAGAAAAACGTGTATGAGTGCATGTTTAAGTTTGTTTTTAAGAGTGAAAACATCTAAGGCTAAGAGTAGTCTTGTGAGAAAATCTGAGGGTCAAGAGTGATCTTCTTGTACACGGCATTGTAATTTGAGTTTGAGTTTCTTTGTATGCTCGAGTTAAATAAAAAGTTGTGAAAAGAGTTTCCTGTAATTATGCCTTGTGTTCTTGTTAATTTTCTGTTGCCTTTACTAAATTTCGTTGCCTAAAGCGTTCCTAAACTTACTATGTTGAAGCTGTCTAAAAATATTCTAAGTCCAAAGTTGCTGTAATTTTGGCTAAGTGTTGTGAGAAGGCCGGAGTCAAGTGCGGGACTTGACTGCCGCGCAGGCTGATTTTGGCGGACAGAAATCACGCCCGTGACAGATAATTCCCTCCAAACCAACTGGGCCGCCCCGAAAGACTACACGGGACGGGACGGGACGCCCGTTTCGTCCCGCTTCGTCCCGTCCCGTCCCGCGTCCCGTCCCGTCCCGCCTGTTTTTTTTTATTAAAAACTAGCCGTTGGGCAACGGCTTAAATTGCAAAAATTAGTCGTTGCCAACGTCCAAAAAGCCCCACACCCCCCAAAACACCCCCAAACCCCCCCCCCCCCCCCTCCCCCCCAAACTTTAATATAACCCCTAAGTTTAATATTTGATACTTTGGCCATTTTCTACTATAAATACCCCCTATTCTTCTTTTACTTTTCCTTCTCACCCTGCTTTTGTGCATTATATTCAAGAAACTTTATAACCCTGCTTTTTCAAGGTTTCCCAAGACCACAGTTAGAAAGTGATATTTTTAAAATTTCACACTGAATATCTTCAGTATATTCGTTGTGTATTTTATCACTTTGGATTGTAATGTACATCACATCTGATATAGGTCGTTAGTCCTAATGGTTGTGATTATTTAACTGTTACTGTGTCATTGGGTTGATCATCATTGGAACTTGCAAAAACGTATTATTGGTTATATAAATTTGTTGATTCTAAACACACTGGAGCATATATTGCAACTCTGTTCTACAAATACTTGATTTTTATGGCTTATTAATAAAGTTCTAACTATCACCTTAGATAATGCTTCTGCTAACACAACGCGGCAAATAGCTAAAATCTAGACTTTGTCCAATTAATCCAACAATTTTTCATGTTAGATTGTGCATGCCATATTTTTAACTTGGTTGTAAAAGATGGTCTTAATTATTTTCTGATGCTTTGTAGTAAAATACAACATGCTTGTGGCTATATTTCGTCTCAATAAACAAAGTAGAATTCGGAATTTGCTCAACAATGTGCTGAGTGCTGCCTTTCCATTTAAAATTCCAAAAGATGTTGTACTAGGTGGAATTCTACTTATGAAATGCTTAAAGTTGCTTATGATTATCGGTGCCCATCCAAAAAGTATTTAATATGCATAATGCTTACCCTGTTGATCAAAATGTTGATTCTGATTGGGATGAAATAGAGAGAGCTTACTAAATTTTAGAAAAATTTTATTATGCTACAAACAAGTTTTCTGGTATTATACTATACTACTATTACACAAATATTAGGGTATGTTTGTGGAATTTCTATTGTATTTAGGTAAGTTATAAAAAAATTCAACTTATGCTACAGCCATTAAAGAATATGATTTTAAATTTTAAAAAAGTATTTTTACCCTACTTCCGAAGTTTATTTAATTTCTACACTACTTAACCCATCTTTAAAACTAAAGGTACAAGGTCTTGTCGTAAAATTTATGAGAATTTAGAAATTCAAGAAAATGAACAACCATCTCTCGAAAAACTGCCAAGCTAGCTATATATTTTATGCTAGATCAATGTTTAATAAATATAAATCTATGGATACAACTAGTACTGAAACTGCTCCTTCTACTTTCTAAGTCTGGAGCAGAAGTTTTATGGGAAGATATGGATGATATAACAGGTTTTGATTCCTCTATTGATGATGAACTTGATTCTTATCTTAATCAGGATTGGAAAAATATTAAAGACGAAGAAGCAAGAACAACTTTTGTCATGGTGGAGGGAGCGTGGCAAGGCTTTTCCACCATTTCCATTATGGCCGAGATATCCTGGCTATTTCAATCCATCAGTAGCATGCGGAGAGTGCATTTAGCGCGGCAAGATTTCAAATTGGAGATCATAGACATTCATTAGCGGAGGACAGTCTAGAGATTTCCGTCTTATTCAGAGATTGGATTAATTCAGAAAGAAGAAATCTTGGTTTTGAAAAACTAACCACTAGGGAGGAAGAAGAATACAATGAGATACTTACCACTGGGAGCGATAATGGCATGGAGCTCATGGAACATCAATCAACATTGCCAATTCCAGTAGAATATCCAAGAGATATTATTGATAAGTTACAAAGAAGCTATATAGGAGCTTACAAATATTAGTATGATAATTTGTAATTGGCTACTAAGAGGCCTAGTTCAAACAGAACCCTTCCTAGAAGGTGGCTGCGTAGATTAGGTGTTCTTCAAAAGAATTGTATTTGTATTTGAGATTTGAAAGTTCTATTAATAAAATAAATGGCTCTAAGAGATGAATTATTTTTATGATTTGTCGGTGTTACTTAATAGTTAATATTTTGAAATTATATTAAATAAATTATAACTCTATTATAAATTTATATTTACTAGATTATTTTATTACAAGTCTTTTGTTTTAATATTTTATAATTCTTTACTTAGTTTTCTAATTTTCTTTTTAACATACTAACATAGTAATATTTAAGTTTATTAAATAAGTCAAAAATCTAGCCGTTGCAAACTTTAAAAACATAGTGATTTTCAAAAAACTAGAATTTTTTTTTTAAAAAAAATACACTTAAGGCCCACGAACCCGTCCCGTCCCGTCCCGTTTGTCCCGTCCCGTTTCGTCCCGTCCCGCCACCGTCCCGCCTAAATCTCATCCCGTCCCGTCCCGTTGGACACCCATAGTTTTTGGCAACAAATAATGTAAGTTTGGACAACTTAAGGTAGATTCTGGAAAGCCTGAAGTTTCGAAATGATTAAAGACGTGGGAGGATCAATAATGTTTT